ACGACTTAGGGCCCATACAGCGAGATTAGACCTAGTCTAGACGGGACGTGTCCTGATTGAACTAGAAACAAATGTTTGCTGTTCCTTGTGGCTGATGGACTCAGGCGAGGCGCAGGTATGAGATGGGCAGACGCAGATAAAGGCGGAGAAAGTCAAATACAGCAGAGAATTGCTCAAGAGACTGGGAAAATTGGCTTAAGTACTGCAGAAAATACAGCAAGTTACATTTGTGTTCGGATGTTAAAATGAAGACTGGTCGATATTGGCCGACATTTCAGATGAGCTTACTGCCTTCATAGACTGTCAGAATCTGAAATCTCACCTGGGAACTTTTTATTGTTTTTGTTTCCAAACGTACGTTACATTTGTCTTTTTTAAAAAAAGAATGGCGATCAAATTACATGACAAATAAAAGGGAAACTTTTTCACCCTTTAACAAAATCGTCTTTTGTAATTGATAGTTATTCTCTTTAAAATTACAACCTGTAAAAAAAGAAAGCACCGTCAAAAATTCTTAGGAGTGGCTTACAACATTTCTCCGTCCTCTTAAATACTTAAGCAAAATGCGTTTATAATTTATTCTAACACGTATGTCGTTCAGATGTGTCAAACTGAGTTCATAATGCGCGGAACTTAAACTTCCAAGACGTATAGTAACATTAATATAATGTTCATACGTCATTACCTAACACGCGTAAAATGCAAATAATTGAAATTTATAAAAAAAAAATATTTCGTCGAAATCTCTTTTATAATGTTTAACATGTCAATAATACACTACAGAAAAATAAACTATTATCAGTGACCATATGGCATTTATATAAATAAAGACATTGTTTTCTTAGTCAAAATTAAGGGAGGAAGTATTGTTGAGAATGGTCCAATTATTTCATAAATTAAACTAATGGTAGAATTAATTTTTGTGAATGAATATTTCAACAAGGATTATTTTGAAGATGGCTATCTTGAGGATTTTATTTGAATTCACGTATTTTAAAGCGTAGGTAAGAATTTTACATTTCCAGCGCTGCGGAAATTAATTAGGAAGCCAACAGTGACGTCAAGATATCGAAACGAGGACTGTCCTCACATGTCTATCAAACCCAATGTTGTAGAACTTCATGCTCCTTCAGTAGAAAGCAGGGTAGAACCAAAATATAAACATACATATTAAATTCTTCGAACATGTGGCAGATGATGGACAATGAGATGGGAGGGTCATGTAGCATAAATGACCTTCCCATAAGATTTAAAAAAGTGCACATAATCGATGGAGAAATCAGAACAGAAGAAACCACTTTGGGTACCTGGGCATAGATGGGAAGATAATATTCAAATGAATCTCAAAGAAACAGGATAAGGGGTATGGACTGTTGACTATTAATCAGCCCAGGATAGGTATCTGTGTCGGGCTACTGTGAACACAGCGGTGAACCATCGGCTTCCACAGACGAAGGATTTATTGGAAAGCTTAACGACTGTCAGATTTTTAACTCTGATGCAGAGCGTAACTTTTGTGCTATTACGTCGTCTTCATCTGATCTAAGATCTGGCGACATTCACCCTTTCCTACCGAATCGTGGGACGGCCGGTTATAAATGATGACAATTTACTGAACCTTCGATGCAATGTGTTAATATAGTTAGTGGCTTCATTTATTCTGCTTATTATACTAATTCTTGACTTAAAATTATATATTAAAAAATGCTTCCATTATAAAAATTATATGTTTTTATAAAATTGCACTCGGACCGCACGGTACAAATCGTCGGGACGTGATTTGATCTCTGGTCAAAAGACCTTGTCACCCGAAGACCACGTAGTCTCTCATCTTACACAATTAACATCTCATCAGCATCTTGTAAACTTATCAGTACAATGAAACAATATTTCGCAAGAAACTTCTCTGAACCTGTGTGGAAAAATTACGAACTGAAGATGGCAGCCTTTTGGGATACTGTATCGGCTCTGAAACGCCGATCAACGTCTACGAGACTACACGACACAAGATCCCAGGAGACTTATCTTTTAACTCGCCGCCGTCAGAATCTCAAATCGCTCGGAATTACGAACTGTTCTTTTACAATAGCGACAACGGAACCTAAACTGTCTTCTGGAAGCATTCACCCTTTTCAAAGGAAAGAAGGTACAATAAATACTGAATGCTAAAGGATAGCCGGTGAAAAGAAGACAAGATATGAGGCAGATACGGGATGGGGATCTGACAAGAGTCGCATTTTGTACGCAACATTTCTCTCGTGGTGTGAGAGAACTGCTGCTATCTACCGGCGACAATACAGGCTCCAGCCTGGCGGCTTCATCGCTAGATGACACTACTAGATATGAAGATTGTTTAGCATGGAGAGGTCTGTTTTGCGTCGCCACATCAATACATAACAATTCAGCAATAAAATATATTTGAATTCTGTGTTTCCTTGACACGCGTTTATTTTACACTTGACAATTCCCCCCCCCCACCTCAAAAAAATAAAACGGAGTACCGATAGTGGAAACAAAGTTCAAGTAAGCTAAGAACTTTCTAAATGTTTATCGTTAACTCAAGACATGGAAAGAAATACGACTTTTAAAAATGTTTGTTCATTACCACAAATGACGCACATTCCGTTGTTTACTAACATACGAGGTGGGATCGGAAAGTTTCAAGACTGCGCCTATATAAACCCGTACACTTATCTCAGGTATTAAATTCATCCATCACCCTCGAAGTAGTTCCCCTGGGAGTGAACACAACGATCCCAGCGCCGCTGCCAAGCCTGGAAGCATCCCTGGAAATCTTTCTTTGTCAGCCTGTCAAGCACCATCTGCGATTCTGTCTGAATCTCTTCTATCGTCTCAAATCTCCTTCCCTTTAGCTGAATTTTCATCTTTGGGAAGAGGAAGAAGTCACACGGAGCTAAATCCGGTGAATAAGGAGGGTGCGGGATGACGGCCATGGTGTTTGAGGCCAAAAACTGCCGAACTTTGAGGGCGGTGTGCGCTGGCGCGTTGTCTTGATGCGTCGCATGTGGAGTTCTTCCTTTAGAATCAGCTGACAGGTCCCATAGCCTATCCCAACAATGTCGCACAAGTCGTTGATGGTACGACGTCGATCTTCGTAACTTTTTCGGGCGTTGTGCTCGAAGATGGTCGTCCAGAACGCTCGTCATCATCGACAGAGGTTCGGCCGGCCCTTTTTAAAACGTGAATGCCACACAAAAGTTTGCGGACTCCCCAAATGTTTGCTTTAGCATTTCATAGGTTTCCTTAGCCGTTTTGGCGAGTCTTTGGCAAAATTTGATGCACACGCCATTCCTGAAATCGCAGGAGGGTCGGTGTAATGCACTACCAAAACGCCCGTAACTAAGAAACAAATGCTAATTCGATGATGCCGGCTGGCACACTGATTCACTATGAATGTAGGCCGCACCCCCTAAAAGCAGAAGCTCGTACTACATCCGGTTCGCCCGCTATTGACACAGTCTTAAAACTTTCCGATCGCACCTCGTAGGCGTTCGTTCTGTATATGGATTTTATCTACTTGAAGTCTACGTTCCTCCTCTTTTAAACTGCCTGGTTTATAGTAGACATATAAAAAGTAAAGCTGTCCCACTATACGCCATGTAGGCGCTTGGGGGAGAGAAATTCTCATACATACAGCTGTAACTCTTGAAGAAGAGAGAGATCCTTGAGTCGTGTAGTCTCGTTGAAGTTAGCCGACGTTTCAGAAGTGCGTCCGTCAAATTCTACGAACTACACGGCGCAGTATCAGACAAGGCCATCACCTTCACCACCGTGAGAACCTGAAATCTCGCCTAGCTGTAGCTCTTTATTTAATCCTAATCTAGATCAACTCAGAGAACTTGGAAGACGAATGTACATGTAATTTCTTCTTTGTAGCGAAGTAGAAGATTCCTTCTCTCCTTCGGGGATGTTTGCGAGTTTCAAACAACCCCACCCTTCCCAACCCTTGGAAAAACATCCCAGATACTTACCTTTCCCTTGCCACGGGTGGCGTCGGAGTGGCTAGACAAATCTCATTCCTCTCTCTTCTCCATCGAAATACGAAAAATGTAAAAAAACAGACAATGCCAAAAAACTACGTAGTTCGGGTGTTTTAAGGGAATGTGATTTCCCTTCTCTTTACAAAGCAGTAGGGATGTTCATAGCCGCAAGAAGAGAAGGAGGTGTCATCCGCTACTGGAACGAACATCGCGTTCGGCGGTCTTGAACCGAGTAACAAAGCTAGCGATCTTTAGATTTCCTTTCATACA